AAAGTCTCCAAGAAATATGGGACTATGTGAAAAGACCTAATTTACATTTGATAGGTGTACCTGAATGTCATGAAGAGAATGAATCCAAGCTGGAAAATATTGTTCAGGATATTATTCAGGAAAACTTTCCTAACCTAGTAAGGCAGGACAATACTCGACTTCAGGTAATACAGAGACCACCACAAAGATACTCCTCAAGTACAGCAACCCCAAGACCCATAATCGTTGGATTCACCAGGGTTGAAATAAAGGAGAAAATTCTAAGGGCAGCTAGAGGGAAAGGTCAGGTTACCCATAAAGGGAAGCCTATCAGACTCACAGCAGATCTCTCAGCTGAAACCCTACAAACTAGAAGAGAGTGGGGGTCAATATTCAATATCCTCAAAGAAAAGAATTTTCAACCCAGAATCTCATATCCAGCCAAATTAAACTTCATAAATGAAGGAAAAATAAAATTTTTCACCAACAAGCAAGCACTCAGATTTCATCACCACCAGGCCTGCTTTACAAGAGCTTCTGAAAGAAGCACTATACACAGAAAGGAACAACCAGTATCAGTCATCCCAAAAACTTACCAAAAGGTAAAGACTATCTCCATAATGAAGAATCTGTATCAATTAATGGGCAAAATGGCCAGCTAGCATTAAATGACAATATTAAACTCACAAATATCAATATTAATCCTAAATTTAAATGGATTAAATGCCCCAATCAAAGACACAGACAGGCAAACCGAATAAAGAGTCAAAACCCATTGGTTCGCTGTATCCAGATCCATCTCATAAGCAAGGACACACAGACTCAAAACAAAGGGTTGGTGGAAGACTTAACGATCAAATGGAGAGGGGGAAAAAAAAAAGAAAGAAAAAAAAGGAAAACAGGAGTTATAACTTTCGTTTCTGACAAAATAGACTTTAATAGTAACAAAGACTAAAAGAAACAAAGATATTACACAATGGTAAAAGGATCAACGCAACAACAGGAGTCAATGATCATAAATGTATATGCACCCAATATAGGAGCACCCAGATACATAAAATAAGTTCTTAATGACTTATAAAGAGACCTGGACTCCCGCACAATAATAGCGGGAGACTTTGACACCACATTGTTGATATTCGACGGATCAACGAGATAGAAAATTAACAGGGACATCTATGATTTTAACTCAGCTGGAACAAGTAAACTCAGTGAATATTTATAGAATTATTCACCCCAGGTCCACAGATCATACATTTTTCTCAGTATTATATTACACCTATTTTGAAAGTGACCACATAATTGGAAGTAAATCACTCTTCAGCATTTGCATAGCATTTCACAGACTTAAATGAAATATTGGTTGGCTGTTGTTATTTTCTTCCCTTATTCCTTCCTGTCTCCACTGTTAAGCACAATTATCAGCATAAAAGAGGTTTTTAATACCTATTTTTAGATTGCATTCCAGCCTGGGCAATAGAGCAAGACTTTTGTTCTCTCTCCCTCTCTTTCTTTAAAAAAAAAAAAAAAAAAAAAACCACCTCTTAATATTCTAAAGAATAGTGCCCAGTAATGTACACATTAACCACACACACACACACACAATAAAATAAAATAAATTTAAAAAAATAAAATATGTTACCTTACATGCAAAAGTGACTCTGCAGGATGTAATTAAGAATATTAAGATGAAGAGAGAATCCTGGATTACTTACTTGAGTGGGCCCAACATCATCACAAAGATCCTTATGAAGGAAAGAGGGAGGCAGAGAGTCAGAGGAGATATGATAATGAAGTAGGGGTTAGCGTGATGTGGCCACAAACCAAAAAATGTGGGCAGCCTCTAGAAACTGAAAAGGCAATTGATTCTCCCTTGCAACTTCCAGAAGGAACACAGACTTTGATTTTAGGCTTTTCAGATCAATTTTGGACTCCTAACCTCCAGAACTAGAAGTTAATAAATCGGTGTCGTTTCAAGCTACTAAGTTCAAGGTAACTTGTTCCAGCAACAATAGCAAACTAATACATTGTCTTTCTTCTGGACAATTGTCTTTTTTTTTTTTTTTTTTTTTTTTGAGATAGAGTCTTGCTCTGTGGCCCAAGCTGGAGTGCAGTGACACAATCTCAGCTCACTACAGCTTCAATCTCCTGCGTGCAAGCAATTCTCCCATATTAGCCTCCTGAGTAGCTGAGACAACAGATTTGCACCACCACACCTGGCTTTTGCATTTTTTGTAGAGATGGAATTTCGCCACATTGCCCAGTCTGGTCTCGATCTCCTGAGCTCAAGCAATCTGCACACTTCAGCCGCCCAAAGTGCTGGGATTACAGGCATGAGCCACCAAACTCAGCCTGGACTATTTTTTCAAGGATATTTCTATAGTGACCAGTCTTAGAAGATAAAGTCTTCTTACAGAGCAAAGGGAAGTCATGCTTACTGCCCATTATAAAAGATTTGTGTTTCCCATGTTTGGATTTCCTCTCCTATAATGCAAACCACTGTGTACAGGTGTCACCTACTCTTTGTATCACCCTGTGGAAATTAGGGCTTGGATAAATGATGCCAGAAAATGCTGACATGCTGGCCACTGACACTGCTGTAACAAACATCTTTGTTTCTCATGTAGGAATCTTGTGTTTTCTGCTAGTATTCATGAAATAGATAGCTTGTAAGTAGAGACGCAGATCCTTCACAATTCTTTGACAGATTATAGAACAACTCAGACAAGCTACAGGTTCTGCCTTGACCTTTAAACTCATTGACTATTCTCAAATGGGAACAAAGGCTGTAAGAATTATTCAAATACAATGAATGATGGGAAGACAATACTTTCTTTAAAACACCCCTCAGCTTCCAGAAGTTTTTTTTTTCCCCCAGAAGCACTCTGGGGAATTCTTTAATGATTGGGATAATACTACAGATGTTGAAAATTTCTAACCTTCTTTTCTCTGTCCTCAATAAGCACCTATAATTTCCCCATGGCTCATTTACTTAGTTTATACATGATGGCAGACTCTTCACATAAGCTAACCCCCTAACTCAAGAAACACATTCCAAATATGTTTTGAAAAAATTTGTCCACCGAAATCATTAAGCTTAGAGTTTTACACAAGAAAAGACCAAGCCTGAGTCTACTTATCAAAATATATATCCTTTTATTCATGTTTCCAGGAGAACCAGTCTTACCACTTCTGCTTGCCTTAGGGACTATGTCTGTCTTAGGTAATCAGCAGTAACCTGTTTGTAAGAGAGGTCAAAAAAGAATAGTCTTCAAATATTTTCAGGCATTTTCATAAGACCTGAGTAAATTTCAGACTCTTGATAAGAGATGAGCAGGTGAATTGCAGTAACTGAGATTAAATTTATAATGGAATCCTGGGAATACTCACCATCTACTGGGAAAAATTCACAGTGAAGTTTATCTTGAGTATTCCGATAGACTCAGAATTAAAAAGACTTTGTAGTGAAATATCATTCTTTGATACTTGATAACATTTGCTACTCCACTTTGTAAGAGGGGAAATAAGAGGAAAGATGCAGATGGTAGGGATGATCCCACCAGCTCTCTCTACAGCAGTGGTTTTCAGCCAGGGGCAATTTTGCCTCCCATGGGACATCTGGCACAGTCTAGAGACATTTTTGATTGTCATGACAGGGGTAGGGTGGGACTGCTACTGACATCTAGTGAGTAGGGATTCTGCTAAACATCCTACAATGCACAGAAAAGCTCCCCCACAACATAAAATTATCTGATCCCAAATGTCAATAGTATCAAGGTCAAAAAACCCTGTAATATAGGAAGGATTAAAAATAGACTGATGATAGAAAAATTCTGAATCTTGACTGCAGTGATGGTTACACACATTTATGCATGGAATACTGCATAGTTACATGCATACACACATATGTGCAAATGAATGCAGGTTAAAATACGACAAAAATCAAATAACGTCTGTAGTCTAGTTAACAAGTCAATTTCCTAATTTTGATATTATGCAACAATATCAAATGCCACCACTGGGAGAAGCAAGAGTACATAGGACTCTGTTCTTTTTGCAACTTACTATAATTACTTCAAAATAAAAAGTGAAAAAACGAATAGAGCCCTAGCTGTGTTCTTCAGAGGCTGGTATGTCTCCTTACCTTGTGTTGCTGCAGCCCCCTCTTTGCTTCTGTGTGTTATGCAGTGCTTGGCACAGCACCAAGAAAAATGTGGGATCCTATATAGGAACTTTTTTCCTAAGTTTGTAGTGGCTATACATTGGCTTGGCGCAAAAGAAACTGCAGTTTTGTCATTAAAATACGGCAAAACCCACAATTACTTTTGCGGCAATCTAATATTTGCACCTCCTACCCAGTGTCTAAAGTTTTAGTTGGCAAATTAATAAACACCCCTCTTTACCACCACCTCTTCTCCAGCCCTCTTGCTCTGAAACAATTGGAAGTTTATTCCCTTTGATTTTGAAGTAGCCCTAGAGATATTTATGAAGTGTTCCAATTGTTCCTAGACTATGGACCCACTTTGAGACCGGTATTCTAGGAGAGTTTCTATTTCCCATTATGAACTCTTTTTCAAGACACTGTTCCTCTCAACACACTTAAAAATCATATCCATTCCTTAAGGGAAACCTCTTACTTTTCCACCTTCCCCTGTCCCAGGCAGTGAATGAATAATGTTTCCTTTCTCTGAACTTCTATTGTAAAGCAAGTAACTTCTAAAGCGTGTATGTATGCATCTATCATTCTTTGAATTAATCAATCATCTATCTATGTCACTATACTATAAACTTTGGGAGACAAAGGAGTATAAAATATGATCTATTGCTCTGGAGTTTCCTCTAGGAGTTTCCTCTCTGGTGGAAAACATGACAGTTCAACAATTCAGCTCAACAATAAATGGTCTCATGCCAAAAAATTACACTGGACACTGTGGTATTAGCTTGGTGCAAAAGAAATTGTGATTTTAGACTGTAAACTTTAAATCATTATAACTAGGCCCAAACACATCTTATTAATCAAAATAGGAACCATTACAATCAACACATTTTTGCCAACAAGAAATGTTTGTTTACTCCTGTAGCATAAAAATCCATGCTTTGGAATTTGACGAACTCTTGGAAAGCATTTTCCCTCCAAAAAGTTGTTGAGATGCTTGAAGAAGTGGTAGTCAGTTGGTGAGAGGTCAGGTGAATATGGAGGATGAGGCAAAACTTCGTAGCCCAATTCGTTCAACTTTTGAAGCACTGGCTGTGCAACATGCCGTTGGGCACTGTCATGGAGAAGAATTGGGCCCTTTCTGTTGACCAATGCTGGCTGCAGGCATTGCAGTTTTTGGTGCATCTCATCGAATTGCTGAGCATACTTCTCAGATTAAGGGTTTCCACAGGATTCAGAAAGTTGTAGTCGATCAGACCCGCAGCAGACCACCAAGCAGTGACCATGACCTTTTTCTGGTGCAAGTTCGGCTTTGGGAAGTGCTTTGGAGCGTCCTGGTCCAACCACTGAGCTGGTCGTCACTGGTTATCATATAAAATCCACTTTTTGTGGCACATCACAATCTGATTGAGAAACGGTTCACTGTTGTTGCATAGATTAAGAGAAAATGACATTTCAAAAGGATGATTTTTTAAATATTCACTTAGTTCATGAGGCACCCGCTTATCAAGCTTTTTCACCTATCCAATTTGCTTCAAATGCCAAATGACTGCAGAATGGTCAACGTTGAGTTCTTCGGCAACTTCTCGTGTAGTTGTTAAGAGGACTGGCTTCGAGGATTGCTCTTAATTGGTTGTTGTCAACTTCCAATGGCCAGTCACTATGCTCCACATCTTCAAGGCTCTCCTCTACTTTTCGAAACTTCTTGAACCACTACTACACTGTACGTTTTCATTAGCAATTTCTGGGCCAAATACGCTGTTGATGTTGTGAGTTGTCTCCACTGCTTTACAACCCATTTTGAACTGAAATAAGAAAATTGCTTGAATTTGTTTTATATCTAACATTATTTCCACAGTCTAAAATAATATAAATAGCAGTAAGTCATTAGCAAAAAAATAAAGAAATGCACATTAAAATGATGTATAACATAACCACATTTGTTTAAGAATGTATTTCAATATCAAATGACAAATTCCAACAATGCAAAAACCACAATTACTTTTGCCTTGACCAGCAGTTCCCCAACCTTTTTGGCACCAGGGACTGGTTTTGTGGAAGTCAATTTTTCCATGGACTGGGGGTCAAGGGGAGATGGTTTTGGGATGAAACTCTTCTTTCTCAGATCATCAGGCATTAGATTCTCATAAGAAGCATGCAACCTAGACCCTCACATGCACGGTTCACAATAGGGATCACCCTCCTATAAGAATCTAATGTTGCTGCTGATGTTACAGAAGTTAAAACTCAGGCAGTAATGCTTGCTCGCCTGTCACTCACTTTCTGCTGTGTAACTCAGTTTCTAACAGGCACAGACTGGTACTGGTCTATGGCCCAGGTGATGGGGACCTCTGGTATAAATGATGATTAAGACTTGATCCATGTTCTCAAGGCCTTTAATAAAGGAGATATGCACAGAAGTATGATACAAGGCAGAATTTAGTAACTGACATCAAAAAGGTAATAAAGCTATATGGGAATATGTGGGATTTAAAGACTATTTCAGATCCAAAAAGGGTTATTAGGGAATGTCACATTTGAGTCTTGCAGGATGGGTAAAATGATGGGCTCAAAATAAGGGGGAAGAATTTCTACTTGCAGTTGAAGCTGGAAAGTGCGAGACATGCTTGGAGAGCTTGTTGACCAGTTTGGTAGAGAATACAATATGAGTGAAGAACAAGGTCTTTGGGTCACAGAAGCCCCTGGACACCATGCCACAAAGTTTAGACATTACTCCTGGTGAGAGTGACTAGAAATTTTCAAGCAGGTGTCATGATCAAAGCTTTGTTCTAGGATAACATATGGCATCACTGGAAAATAGAGTTCAGGATGGAGACTTTAGATTAAGGCAGAGGCATCAGTAGGAGGTTATTGCTGTAATATAGGCCAGAACTAATGAGGGTATAAAGTAGACTGGTAGCAGGAGAAACGGTTTAAGGTAATAGAAGCTGTGCTACAAGTGATGAATGGTCAAGTGAATTGTGCAGGTAATTATGACGGAAGGTCAGAAAAATAAAATGATTCTGTAGCTTGGATATTCAAGGACAGTTTTAGAGAGCAGGTGACAATAATGGGTACAAGGAGGTGGGTGTAGTGACATGAAGGAATGTTCAGAAGTAAGAAAAGTATAATGTACAAGTGCTTCCCGGTACGGTAATAAAGGTATCTGACTGGAATGGAGTGTATATATTGAGAGCAACAGGAGTGAACACCAGGAGTGAACTTCCAATAGCTGTGGAAGACCTAGTTAAGCAGCTTTGGCTTTATTTTCTAGGGAGTGGGAAACTGAAGATAGATTTTTTTGTAAGGTAGTAACAAGATAAAGCATGTTATTTATATCACTTACATATGTACTACCTCATATTAAAGGTATGTTCCTGGACAGGACTAGAGGATTAAAGTTTGTCAGAGGATACTCAATGAATTCTTATTGATTGAATTGACTGAATCATTTTGTCAAAAAAAAATTATTCTATCATGTGAATAACCTATCAATATACTTGAACTCTGAAAAACATATTTTCTCAAAATGAAACTTCTTCAGTTGGAGCTGGCTCATACTGGCTTGTGAGGGCTTACTGGTAAAATTTCAGGTGTTTTGTGAGGCAGGTGATCTCAAGTTGGTAAGCATTTGCATCAAGGAAATTGGCAAATGTTATAAATCAAAGTTTATTTTCAGAAGGATTAGTCATTTACCAGCACATCACTGCCAATCTCTCTCCCATCCCTCACCCCCACCATTCAACTATCACTCTAAGTTTTTGACGGCAGAAACTGAGTCTTATTATTCTTGCATGTTCAATTCAATACCGTATTATACAGTATTGGGACATTAATTGTGACAAAATATGCTCTTAAAATTTTCTCCAGACAGACAGCTTAACAAACAAAAACCACTCGCAAGAAAATGCCACAAATAAACATCTAGACTTGGGGTTGGTAAATTCTCTTCGGTGGGCCAAATCAGATTCTATGTCTGTTTTTGTTCTGCAAGTAGAGTTTTCAGTAAACACAGCAACGATTATTCATGTATGTATTGTCTACAGTTCCTCTGTGATATAAGGGCAGAACAGAGTATTTTAGACTGAGATCCTGTGGACCACAAAGCCTAAAATTTTAGATTGCTACATAAATAATTGGGGTTTTTGCAATTTTTTTTTCCACCAACCTAATATTTACTATCTAGTCCTCCCAGACAGTTTGCTAATCTCTGATTTAGACCATAGTCCCCTCACCTCCAATGTCTCTTACAGGTCAGGATTACATCTTAAAAAGTGTCATAGCAATCAATAAATATACAGTATCTTCTTACAGATAAATCTTATTACCTTATGGTGTCACACACATCTGAAGTTTCTAGACAATAATGTAGACACAGGTAATTGCAAAGTCCATAAATGCAGGGAGACACACATACACACACACACACACACACACACACACACACACACACACGGTATTTACTGGAGAATCAAGAGAAAAACGTACCTCTAAATGGTAGAGAGTGAAGTCTTCCTGGGGAATGTGATATAAGATAAGTAAAAGTTAGACAGGTGAAGGCAAGAGGAAAGTCATTCTAGGTACAGGAAGGCAGCCTAGGCAAAGTGTGCAGGTAAGATGCAGCATGACAGGGGATAACAAGTAATGGGGGAGCTAATGAAGTTGAAGAAAAATTTCATTTAGATGTATGGAAGAAATTCTAAATGCTTGCTTGTCCAGTTGTGACACTTTCTACCTTGAGAAGCAGTGATTACCTCACACCTAGACATAACCAAGTAGTCCTTCTTCAGGAGGAGGTCTTGTTATTGAGCCACGCTGCCAGAAATTTAGGTGATATCAAATGATGTCTATATTGAAATTGATATCCTCAGAATTCTCTCAGATCCAGATTCCATAGAGCTCTGCTAAAAAGTCGTGTTTATGTAACAGTATTTATTCTCAGAACAGGGTTGGACGGCTTAGAAGTAGAAATGCAGAATGTATCTTTGAGGATTTGGGTCACAGTAGGCTGTCAGGATTTAAATTGTGCAACACTGATTAATATAGTTAATGTGCTGGCTTGTACATTCCTTGCAAGTCATCTTTAAAAGCAAATGACGTCATTTCAAATTAGGATTCTCAGATATAATTTATTTCTTAGTTCTATCTGTATTACACTGAAAATAATTTTAGAACTATCCTTAATGCCACTTAAAGCCTGAAATAGAGCAGTAAGTTAATCTGACAGAATATAAAGTGAACACCTTAGCTATATTTAATTGTCCCAGTTGGGTGGACACTCCTCGGACACCCTGTTCGGCCCCACACACTGTAGGAAATCGAGTTCACAGAGTATCTGGGGGCGCTCGCGCACAGCTGTCATGACAGCAGCAGAGGCCGCTGTCATGACAGCAGCAGGCCACTGTCAACACAGGTCGCCTGTTCGATCGTCTGACCAAACCAGGCTGATCTGAGGGCAGTAAATAAGCTCTGGCCATGAAGCAATGACTCCGCGGGATTGCGCAGGGCAGTCGCGGGCGTTTATTCCATTTTCCGTTCGTTGTGCTGAGGGCCTTTCCGCCATTAACTTACCCCAACTCCCCCGCATAAGGCAAGACGAGCCCTCCAAATATCAAACGCTAAACGTATTAAAATAACAAAATACCTCGCCGCTATTTTATCACCAGACCCTCCTCCCATTGGGGAACGCAGAGTACGCAGAAAGGCAATGCAGGCCAAGGCGACCGTGAAGGCGCGGAAGGATGAGCACGGGCCGGCCGGGCATTAGGTAAAGCTAGGAAGACTACCTAGACCGCGAGCGCGCAAGCGCATCAGCGGCCGCAGAGCCCAGTGGTCCCTTTCTAGTAATTTCGCTAATCGTGACGTCATCTCGGCGCGCCGTTACAGTACTTAACTGCAAACTGTGATTTACTTTTTGGTGAAGAGAGTGGAAAAAAAAAAAATGAACTGACCTACCCCGCCCCACTTTGGTTTCAGTCCTTCACGCTGGCTTGGCCTACACTTTGGGCAATGGAGCAGGAAAGGAAAAGGCACGTAGGCTGAGCTCAAAGCCGCGCTAGACGGGGATGACTCGGCGACGCTGCCAGGCGCGTTACCCGGCGTGCTCCGCGCGGCGCCGGTGGAGGGACGTGGGGGAAGGGGCAGGGAGGAGGAAGCGGTGGCTGCTGCGGATGTGGATGTGAGCGAGCGACGCCTGAACACACCGCGGCTGCCCAGCGCCTGACCCGGGCCTGCGCCGGAGCCTGCACTGAGTTCCGAGGCCCCACACCCGTTAGGGTGGCCCTGCGCGCGTTGCTACTGAGGCGGCGTGCTCTGCATTCTTCGCTGCCCAGGCCTGCCGGCTCTGGCGTCTGCCGGCTCCTCCTCGCTCACCCGCTCCCTCCTGCTCGCCTGAGTCACCGCCGCCGCCGCCGCCGCCGCCATGGCTGAGAGTGGTGAAAGCGGCGGCCCTCCGGGCTCACAGGATAGCGCCGCCGGAGCCGAAGGTGCCGGCGCCTCCGCGGCCGCTGCGTCTGCTGAGCCCAAAATTATGAAAGTCACCGTGAAGACCCCGAAGGAGAAGGAGGAATTTGCTGTGCCCGAGAATAGCTCCGTCCAGCAGGTGAGGCCGTCTGGGGCTCGGGCCGGGGTGGGGGTGGCGGCAGGACCTCCGCCCCCCGCCCCTGGAGACCTTTTGGAAGGGCGTGGGAGAGGGGTCGACCTCCGAAGTGCCCTCGGCCCTTCTCCCGGGCGTCGTCCCAAATTAGATCACACCCCAAGTTCGTGGGTTTGCGCCTTGGGATACCGCAGTGGTTTGTGGCGTGGCGGCGCGGCCTGTTTGTGGGACAGGCAGACGCTGCTTTTCTCGGAGCCTGCCTTCTCTAACATCCGTCGACCCTCAGCCTCCTCCCCCAGTTCCCCGCCCTCAGTCGCCTCCCCTCCAAGTCTTCACAAAGGAAAGGGACCCACCGCCTGGCTCCGGGCGGGGTGTAGGCTGGGCGGGGGCGAGGGTTCCCTTTAGCTCAAGCTGCGATTTTGTTTAATGAATTATTTAAAAAGAGGGTGGATGGGATTCCTCATTGTTTTACCTGCCTATTTGTTAAGGTAGGTTTTGGGGTGAGATATACGTGTACATTTAGCTCTGCATTTTAACTCCTGAAATCTTTCCCACCTTACAATCTTTTTTTTTTTTAAAAAAAATTATGACGTAGAAACCGTTTTTAGCTCCATGTTAAGTAATAGTAATAGTACTAGGCTTAAGGAGAAATGTGAGTGACTTTCATTCATTGATGGCTTGCTCTTTCCCTTTTAGTATATCTGTCGTCTCTTAGATGCCAATCATTGGGTAGGTTTTTGTTTGATTTTAGAGGGTCGAGAGCAATGTAGATATTAGCGGTTGCAACCAAATAAAAGAAAATTGGAGTTAATGGAGAATGTTACTTAAACTTTGTTCAGGAATACAAATCTTGCTGTTAATTAAGAACCTTGGTAGAATTTAACAAATAATTTTAGTGTATTGTTGAATATGTCGTATTTTCCATAATTATTGACTTAATCGCTGAAGATCTCAAACCATGTGAACAGTTTGTGATAGGAAATAACAGTTCCTGAAGTGTACCTATAAGTTTCCCCAGGGATAGTAAGTGATTGGGGTATTGGTTTAGCGAATTACAAAGGTAGTGTGTTTTGTGAGGTAGTGAGCTGTGTAACATCAAATAACAAACTTTTGCAACCACTGAATTATCACGTTTTTTTTTTTTTTTTGTCTCCCAATGCTTGTGAAAATTTTCCTTACAATTTTTTTTTTTTTAATTTTCAGTCATACAGGAAAGTTGAAAGAATTGGGCAGTGGACACACATATGGCCATCATCTACAATTAGCATTTTACTGTATTATAATTGGTTATAAGTCCATTTTATTTTGGGGGAGCAATTCAGAGTAAGTTGCATGTATCAGTAGATGACACCAGTATGTGTCACTTCAGCGATGTGAACTTATTTGCCCATATTCAACTTCATTTTTTAGTTTTTGACCTAATTTTGATATGCAATGAAATGCATATGGTTGTAATTCCATGAGTTTTCACAAATGCCTACACCTGTGTAGCCCAAGCCCCCATCAAGATATAGAACGTTGTAATTGACTAGAAAGTTTTTTCTTGCCTTTTCCCAGTCATTTTAGTAACTTTACCTTCCATCAACCACCTCGCCTTTTTTTTTTTTTTGGTGCTGTAAATTAGAGAGTTGCCTGTTTTAAAACTTATAAGTGGGATCCTCTAGAGCAGGCGTCCCCAAACTTTTTACACAGGGGGCCAGTTCACTGTCCCTCAGGCCGGTGGAGGGCCGCCACATACTGTGCTCCTCTCACTGACCACCAGTGAAAGAGGTGCCCCTTCCTGAAGTGCGGCAGAGGGCCGGATAAATGGCCTCGGGGGGCCGCATGCATGCCGTAGTTTGGGGACGTCTGCTCCAGAGTCCGTAGTACTGTGGGTATTTTTCTGGGTAAGATTTTTTTTTTCCCCCACTCAGCATAATGTGTTTGAGTTTCGTGTTTGTTGCGTATATCAGTAGTTCCTTTTTATTGCTATGTAGTTTTCCACTGTATGTATATACCATAATTAATCTATTCACTGTTGAGGGTCACCTGGGGTGTTTCCAGTTAGTTACTACGAACAGTCTTATACAAGTTTTTTGTGGACTTACTCTTTTATCTTTTATAGTTATATACTTAGATTTGGTTTGAGTAGGTCATAGGGCAATTGTATGTTTTAATTTTCTGAGAAACTTTGTTTTTAAAAATGCTTGTGGGCCTGGCGCAGTGGCTCATTCCTGTATCCCAGCACTTTGGAAGGCCCAGGTGGGTGGATTGCCTGTGGTCAGGAGTTTGAGACTAGCCTTGGGTGACATGGTGAAATTCTGTCTCTACTAAAAATACAAAAATTAGCTGCTCGTGGTGATGGGTGCCTGTAATCCCAGCTACTCTGGAGGCTGAGGCAGGAGAATCATTGCTTCATCCTAGAAAGTGGAGATTGCAGTGAGCCGAGATCGGGCCCAGCGTGGGCAACAGGGTGAAACTCCATCTTAAAAAAAAAAAAAAGCTTCTGTAGAGCTGGCTTCAGCTGCACATATACTAAAAAATGCTTGTATCATTTTACTATCCCATCAATGAAGACATATGAGAGTTCCTGTTGCTCCATATCCCTGCTAGCATTTTGATATTGTCAGTCTCTTTAATTTTAGCTATTTTAGTGGGTGTGTAGCCATATTAAGTTTTAAAGCTCTTGGGTCTCTTTTCATCCTGGCTGCTTTCAGCATTTTACTGCAAAAGATTAGAAATAGTCAATATTTTATAAATAGAAAAATTCTTTTCAGTCGATATATAATGTTATAGTTGTGAGGATTTTGTTTTGCATTTTGTGATGGTAAAATTAAAATTATAAATTCTGTGAATGCTTTTATTTTGCTGTAACCAAAGCAATTTTTTTGAGATGGAGTCTTACTCTGTCACCCAGGCTGGAGTGCAATGTCCTGATCTTGGCTCATTGCAACCTCCGCCTCATGGGTTCAAGTGATTCTCCTGCCTCAGCCTCCTGAGTAGCTGGGACTACAGGTGTGTGCCACCATACCTGGCTAATTTTTGTGTTTTTAGTAGAGACTCTTGGCCAGGCTGGTGTGAACTCTGACTTCATGATTTGCTCGCCTTGGCCTTCCAAAGTATTGGGATTACAGGCGTGAGCCACCGCACAGGGCCTAAAGTGAATTGTTAATAGATAAAACTAAAGTCTTTCTGAAGTAAACTTTTCTCTTGGCAGTTAATTTTTGAATTCTTGATCTTTGTTTTATGTTGAAGCAGAAAATGTGATAAAAATTGATGCTTACCACCACACCAAAGAACCTGAGGGCAAGTTGAGCTTGTATATGCAAGGGAAATAGATTCAGGAAAATGTGGAAGAATAAAAACAGTTTTCAAATGTCCTAATTGTAAAATCTACTTGAAGCACAAAAAAAGATAAGCCATTTTATACTTTAAAATTGTAAAGGGTTTGATAGATCGAAACTATTTGCTACAAATGAAAATTTGTCATTAAAAAATGCTTAATGACATTAAGATTCCACTGAAAATGTCCAGTTACAAATTGGGAAATACTAGTTTTGAAAATTTGCACCTAATTTTGGAGGGTCAGAGGGTAAGCAGAAGACCTCCAGAGGATACTATTGAAGGCTTATGCTCTATATCAGGCAAATTACATTTTCTATAAGTTACAATTTTTTTCAGTATTTCTATATAATGTAGATTCCTTAACACATTATACTAAAATGGTATTTATAGGAACATGCTGTAATAATTGATTAGATGAAATTGTGTTAAACTTCTTGGATAAATTGTAAAATAGGTTGTAAGGTGGTAATTTATCCTGTTTTTCCATTGGTTTCCGGTGGTTACTACCAAAAAGCAGAAAAAGGATGCCTTAATGTTTTCGTGCCATATACATTTGGTATTTAATAATGTTACTTGTTGAAGGTTATTAATAAAGCTTAAACTCTTTTCAGTTTAGAGTGAAATTTATTATTCATGAAGCACTCAGAATCAATTGAGTAACATAAATTTTTACTTACAGGTAGTTAGAATATAAACTGTACTATGTATATTCCAAGGTGCTTTCATTAATAGGGATTTTCGTGATACAGGTTGAGTATCCCTTATAGGAAATGCTTGGGACCAGAAGTGTTTGGGATTTTTGATTTTCTTTCTTTCTTTCTTTCTTCTTCTTCTTTTTTTTTTTTTTTGATTTTGGAATATTTGCATATACGTAATAGATAACTTGGGGATGGCACCTAAATGTA